TGAGCCCGGGAACGTCTCAGGATACACAACTCGGCCCGTCAGCCCCTCAGGCATGGATACCCTCGTTCGCCGACCCGTCAGTCCAGCCACTGAACCGACATCCCCACAGACTGCCATGATCCCGAGCACCCCAGGCACCCCAGGCACTCCAGGCACCCCAGCAAATCTGGGTGCTTTTGCTGATCGCCGCAAGCAGATTTTAGATGATGCTGCCCGGCAAACAGCCGATTTTGAACGAACTCTCGAAGCCAGTACCAAGGCCTTGAATCAAATTCGTGGCATCAACGACCGCCAGCAACGCACCATAATAGCTCAATCTCAAGACGCTTCCCCCGATACCTCCTTGGACGGCATGCCACGCACCACTTTGGAGCTAAACACGGACCTTGCGCGCTTTCACCCAGAGACGCCGGATGAGGCCGAGGAGGGCCCTGTCCTCTACCGTCATTCCACTGATTCTTTGCTTCATCCTGCTGATGATCCACTCTACAGTCGCACCCCCACCTTCCGCATCAGCGAAGCGTCTGCGAGCCCACAAGACACAAGCCTCAATGACCTTCTCAATGAGAGCTTGAATGATGCGCACAGCTCCACCGTCACTACCACCGCCGACATTGCTGCTGATGAAGCTGACTTTCTTCAAGCCGCACAGCAAACCCTTGCCAGTCATGATCCATCCGACTTTGGTGAAACCCCTGACCTTGACCTTGATCTGGACTTGCACAATGCTTCAACTGGTTGGTCACTCATTCCTTTGCCTGAAACGACCCGTGACACGTGCTTCAATCAGACCAATCTGTCGCGCTTGACTTGAGAGCTCTCTGTCGTCGTCTCGCCTCAACTTTGTTGCCCCGCCTCCTTATCAGATACCTTTGCTGGGGCTGCTCAACGCGACAAAGTTGTCATCGATTTTGACGCATTGGAACACGAGCCCCTGCCCCACCAGGAGAAGAACGGCTATGAAGACCTTCCCACCCGCGTGGATCAAAACCGGCCATCCCCGCGACGCTCCTCGAGCTCCCACTCTAATCCAGACACTGGCGAGCGCCACCGTGCCTCAGATACATCCTCCGCTGAATCACGTCGCGGCAGTCGTCAAAGCAGCCGACGCCGGTATGCTCAAGAAGTAAAACAGGCCTCAAACCTATCTTGTTCTGCCATGGTGTTCACTCACACGACCGCCCTCTTACTGATGGTTGATATTCTTTAGTTCCATGACCTATCAAGATTCGCAAAGCGAGTATGAGGACCCTGTCTTTCTCCGGAAATATCGCGCCCCGGGAATTCAGGGCATAAAGGAAGAGTCAGAACAGGAGGCTTCGGCCGCTTACTATGGCCGACCCCGAAGATTTGGTTCAGAGGCCCAGACGGACAGCTTTGATTTTGATGAAGACGATGACGACTACGCTGACCCACAACTCGTATTTCGCGCACGCGCTGACACATCTGTGGAAGGCGAGGACGATTCTGATGTCGACAATGAGAATAATGCAAACGGGCGGGCGACTACCCGGCAGCCAAGACGCGCCAGCCTCCCGCAAGCCACAAGCGAGCGGCGACCTTCAAGTGCCCCTGGACACATGCGTCGCCGCCTCTACTCAAGTGGGGGGCACGACCCCATCTCTCCACTCCAGCACCCGTCCTCCCTCTTCTCCAGTCTGTCTGTGTCCCTAGACACCGACCGTGAAACTGGCGATGCTTTCTCTCGTGATGTGGCCAAGACAACTGACGCCGCGGCGCCGGAAGATGCAACGGCGCCTTCTGGCGACACGCCACCCTTTCGCCCACGCACCTTCAGTCAGGACGGACGCGATCGGGCCAAAGCTTTTGCTCGGCGTTACATTGGAGGAAGTATCGAGACCACTTTTTCCGGCTCAGACTCCATCGAATCATCTCTTGGCCCGAACATGTCCCCGCTCCTCAATGCTCGCGAGCCCCGGGTTTTTTTCACAGACTCAAACAGCAACACCGCCTCTCCTAACAATGTCTCGGGGAACAAGAGCCAAATCGAGAGTCATGCTGCCGCGCATGAGCTTACTGGGCAACGCAAGCACTCGCGCCGCGCAAGCCCACGCCGAGGAGACTCTTTAAATCATGACGATGATGGTTGCTCGGCTCACAGTGGAAAACATCCTATAACAGCCCAAGCACTGCTGGAGCAGCTTGAGTCCCGCCGCGTCCGAACGTCCTCTGAGGTCACCTCATCCAGCAAGCGTGGCTCCACTTTATCACAGCGCCCGCTTGACATCCAAAGCTCCACTGCCGCTAGGTTTGCTCAACCACCATCCGAAAGGCAGCTTTTTTTTTTTTTTTTTTCTTTTTTTTTTTTCTTTTTTTTTTTCTTTTTTTTTTTCTTTTTTTTTTTTTCCTCAACTCACCGAATCCTGCTCCCCCTCTCCTCCTACGTGCTGTGTGCCATTAGTTTCGTGTCGCGTCAACTCATGAAGTATCTCGTTTCCCGCAAGGATGACGAAGTCGGCGTACGTCCATCAACTACAATGGCGTTGATGGCCAATGCGATGCTGCGTGCAACCCAGCCTTGACATTGACATGAACGGCATGATGTTGATGTTTTTTTCTTTTTCTTCTTCTTCTTCCTTGCTGCTTTTTATTTTCCTTTCATGTCGCGACCTCACTACTCTTTTGTGCGTTATTTTGTTTACTTGAATGCCAGGAGTCGACATGTGAAGCCCGTGAAGGCGTGGTGCTCTTTGCTGATGCTTCGGGATTCACCCGCCTCACTAACGCTCTGACAGACGACAAAACCCTTGGCTCTAAAAAAGGTGCCGAAGAACTCTGCCGCATCCTCAACAACTTTTTCAGCAAGCTCATTGAAATCACCGATCGCTACGGTGGTGATGTCATCAAGGTACAGCTTGCCTTTGCAGCCTAAGCTTTACAAGCACATGCTAGACAGAAGAGAGTTGTGATCGATTGGACCTCAAAGTCACGCTCGAAGCAGCTCGTGAGCAAGCAGCCCCAAATTTGGTCTCACAGCGTGTTGTGGCTTTGCGCAGTTCTCCGGCGATGCCGTCACAGTGGTGTGGTTTGTTGAACCAGAGGATGTCAAGCGCAACTTGCCTGCCACCACGCTCAAGCAAATTGCCCTTCGTGCCTGTGCATGTGCATGTGAAATCCACAAGGTAAAGACGTACTCGTACTGACATCAGGCTGCAGACGAGCTTTTGCTCACGCGGCGCCCTTTGGGCACTTTTGGTGCTCCTGCACCATGACAGAAACTGAACAATTACATTGCCGCCACACGCTCGGGTATTCGTGAAATGCGGCGTCGATTTCGACACCGCAATCACAAATCGATCGACAGCAAGTCTCAGCGGCCTGATTATCAATACAAGCTCCAGCTGCACATGGGAGTGGGTGTTGGCAAGCTGGTGGCTGTGCATGTGGGTGGCATCTTCAAGGTGAGTGCCGGTCACGCGCCACCCGCCAGCCTCATTTTCCGCAGGACTGGCCAGCTGACTTGCACATTCTTGCCTGGTCCAGCGCTGGGAGTACTTGATTGGTGGCAACCCCATGACACAAATCGGCAATGCAGAGCCGTTGGCACAGCCCGGGGAGACCTGCCTTTCCCCTCAGGTTGCGGAGCTTCTGAGTGGTGAAGTCGAGGTATGCACGATTGCCACAACTGCCGAGCACCACCGTTGTGCCATGTTGGCGGCATTTCGCCTCCAGCTGCACTCATCCCCCGGTTTTATATTATAGGCCCTGCCCCTCTCCTCTTTGACAGCAACGGAGCAGGAAATGCGGGATCTCACGCCCGAAAAGCTGGAGAAGATTGGTGATTACGTGATCTTGCAACGCTTGCTGCGCGACATACGCCCGCCTTCGACGTGTGCTCTGTCGCAAGGAAATCCCAGCAGCACCATCCTGTCCAACACCAAAATGCAAGAGCTGATTCGCCGCTACATCCCCAATGCTGTGCATCAAAGCATCCAGGAGGGTCGTGCGTTCACCGCCGAGATGCGCCACGTTTCCGTGGTGTTTGCAAACGTCCAGGGCATCCGGCTGGATGTAGAGGATCAAGCCACCGTGGAAAAGGTGTGTGGCACTTTGACTGTCAAAATAAGGCCGCTTGATGGCTCTCCCAAACCCCACTCATCAGGTTGGACAAAACGACGCAGGTTCGCAAGCTCGTGCAGGACATGATGTTAGAGACACAGCGAAGCCTCTACCAAAGTGAGGGCTCAATCAACAAGGTCATGGTTGACGACAAAGTACGTTTCAGCAGATTCCCTCTCAGGCCCGAGTTGGGCGTGCCACGTGTGCTACCTTTACCCCTGCGTTACCTTTGCATTCATCGTCTTTTTTTTTTTTTTTTTTTTTTTTTCTCTCTCTCTCTCTCTCTCTCTTTTCTAACACTCGTCCTTTCATAGGGCTTATCCATTTTATGTGCCATGGGTCTGCCCCCCATGCCTCATGCGGACGACCCCAAGCGGGCCTTGGTTGCAGCGCTCGATTTGGTCGAGAACATTGAAGCTCTGGGCTCGTTTATTCGCTGCCGGGTTGGAGTCACCACGGGCATGGCGTTTTGCGGCGTCATTGGTGCAAAGCAACGTCAGGAATACACGGTTGGTGTTTGAGTTCAATGACTGCGAAAGCCGCCTCATATCGATTGAGTATTTCTAGATTTTGAGCTCATTGATTTCGAAAACGCACGCATGCGGTGGTCTTTGGCGCTGGCTAGATGATGGGCAAGATTGTCAATCTCGCCGCTCGGCTGATGTCACATATTGAAGGTAAGTCATAGCAACAAATTTTGTCCTGTCTGTCACTCAATTTGTTTGCATGCTACGAGCAATCAGTGCATGTGCACCTCATCGACGCTCTTCACCCGCTCGCTACTACATTGTCGCCAACAGGCTCGGGGGTCCTGTGTGATGCAGACACCACCAAAAAGTGCAAGGAGGACTATCCTGGTACCTTTTCCTTTCGCCCCTCATCGGAGGCATTGCTGCTCAAGGGGTTCAAGACCCCGGTATCGGCCTACTACGTTGGTTTCAATACGCGGGATAGCTACACCGAAAAACAGAAGAATCGTGAGCTTCAAGATTATGCAGGACGCGAGTTGGAGGCCAAGGAGCTCAAGCTTCGCCTCTCCAACCTCAACACTACCAAGGTTGGGTTGAGACTCATGGGGCACGAGATGGTTTGGAGTGCGCTTTTGTTCATCCTGCTGGCTTCACTTCGCAGGGTGGAACAATGGTCTTGACTGGAGAGCGCGGTTCGGGTAAATCTCAGCTGGTCAAGGAAATTGAAACGTGGGCCGACAAGCGTGGCTTTAACGTGCTCTTCATCCCGAAGGGCTCAGCACGCAAGCAGATCCCTTACCCATTTGCTGACGGCGTGCACACCGAAGCACCCGGTGTCAAGGTTCGCACAACGCCTACTCATCCATCCCTTTCGAGTGTGTGTTTAACGCGGCCCATCTCATGCTCGGATCGCCTGCTGTATAGAATGCGGAGGTGACGATGTTTACGGAGTTTCGGCCTATTCTTGAGCAATTATTGCAAAAGGTTTGACCGGCAGAAAAAAGACAACTACACGAGAGATGTAATTTTTTTTTTTTTCAAAGATGCATTTACTGGGCTCTGCCGTGCCCTCTTAGGTTTCCAAGTCGGAGGATGCCAAAGCGGGCATCAACTGGCTGGTCGATATTTTCCTCTCGCGTGAGGACGAGCTGGTGGCGCTTCCAATGCTGGGTCACGTTTTGCCCAACCTCAACCCTGAGCTAGAGCTCGCAGCCCAAAAGGCCCTGCTTGAGCTTCGCCAGGAAACAGGCGCTGAGAGAGATGACTCTCCCGACTCTTGGACGGTTCCTCGGCTGCGCCGGCGCAGTGATGTGTCGCAGGTCGACCTCTTTCGCCGCACCCTCCACAAGGTTTGTCAGGTCATATGTACTGGCCTTTGCCAGAACCAAGTTTGAGCCATGCCTGCAGCTGTCCCCTCACCCACTGATGGTTGTGCCCTGATCTGCCTGGTAGCTACTTTTTGCGATCATTCTAAAGTTTTCCGAGTCGCATCCAACATTGATCAACCTTCATCTCCAGGTATAGCGCTTGGGGTGACAAACACCAATCATGCTCATGCAGTGCACATTACATCTTCGCGGCTAGCAGGGGGCTCGAGTCCTTGGTTGTTGTCCTTTTTCTTTTGCCTCGTATCTCTCACCGCTTGCCCAATGCTTTTCTGACCTTGCCACCTTGCCACAGACCGGTAGCGATGTCAAACGCAATGTCGATCCAGAATCGTGGGAGCTCGCTGCGCGCTTAAGTGATCACTGTCGTAATGAGCGCTCTCTGCTGGACAACGTCAAGCCATTGGTCATGGTAGTTGTTACACGTCCCCTTGGCACTAGCGTGCAAACCTCGAAGCATATCCAGACCATTTGGGAGTGAGTTGTTGTTTGCATTTAACAGGTGTCATATCACCGGTGCTTCTTGAAACGAAGCGTTGCACAAGAACTGACTTTGGTGATGGCACGTGACCTCCTTGTGCGTAGCAATGCGGCTGGTGCGTTCCAGCTGGAACCTTTGAATGAGGAGCGAAGATTAAGCTATGCTGCATTCGTGCTAGCCAAAGCCACAAGCAAAACCATCACTGACGCGGCCTTGCCTCCGGAGCTCGTGCAGCTGCTCAATGATCGCGCGGGTGGAAACCCGAAACACATCAAGGAGATGATTCAAGAATTGCTTAAGCAACACAATGTATTGCAGGTCATGGAAAACGGCCGTATCCGCGTTAAGGGTGACCTCTACAAGGTGCCCGTGCCAGCCAAGATGCGTGGCATCGTTCGGCAAGAGTTTGACTCGATGGACGAGCACCATAAGGTGGTGTTACGCGTCGCGGCGATTTTCGGGCAGGGCTTTACTGACCAGATGCTTCAAGATGCGTTGCAAAATACCGCTCACAATTTGTCGCCAGCCGATGTTGAAGAGGTGGGTGGGACATTACCATGCACCCTGGGACTGTTCGTAGCAGCGTCAGAAAAAAATGGACATGCTACCAGAAGTTGCTCACCATACTCCTGGGTTGACGTGCTTAGCGCTTGCAAGAGTTGGTGGCTGTGCGCGTGTTGCAACAAGTGCCCACAACGCAATACGTCTTTGAAGTGCACCCCGCGGACCTGTCGGACAAGTGTTACACTTTTACGCTGCGATTGCTACAGGAGGAGGTGCGCGTGATGGTCTCTCAAAACGTTTAATCCGGATAGCTCGCGTTGGTGGCATCTCATCCGTCATCCCTGCCATAGATTCAAGCTTTGAATACAGACACAGTGTCCGGTGCGGTGGAGAGCAAGATTCGCTTCCGCATGCAAAAGGTGGCGATGGCTGCCAAAGTCATTCAGCGCTTCTTTCGTGCCACCAAGCTCAAGTTGCAAAGCCGCAAGGCGGGCATGGGCGTGATGAGCTTTCTCTCTCAGTATGATGATGTTCAGCAGCGTCGCAAGCAGCTCATCCACGTTGATTCAGATAGCGATGATGAAACGGACAGCTTTCACGTGCTCTCGCATTCTTCCAGCTATGACAAGCCAGCCGAAGAGGATGGGCCCATCACGACGCTCTATGCTCAGCACAGCGACGACGGTAGCTCCTCGCCTATCATCTCCCCGCCCTCGTCTTGTGATGAAGCATCAGATGACGAGGGGACGGAGTCTACGGGGGACAAGCTTTTGCCAGTGACTGGTACCATCACGGAACCAAGATCCCCTCTCAGCGCCGCGTCTCCTGCGCGCATTGGCAATGCCGCCCTGCGACCTCTACAGCACCGAAACATTGCCCTATTTAACGCCAGCTCTTCCTTGTCAGTGGGTTCATCCCATGATCACGATGAAGGGCTTGCTCAACCAGACCTGTTCTGCTTTATGCAGGAAGACCAACGAGAGCCTCCGGTGCGCCGGCTGGTGTCGGGGGCTAGTGCCGGAGGCAGCATGGGTGCTGCTGCTGCGGCACCCTCGCCATCCCGAAGCTTTCAGGCCCGCATTCGTCAACCCGACGGCTCATACAGGCTTGAGTGGGTGCAACGAAACACGGGGCGGCAACTGCCGCCTGTGCAACCCTTTCTCCGTTGGGAGGACTGCGAGTTTTCTTCGGCGTGACCCGACTCGGTCCTTTTTATGATATTATCGTGTTATTCTCACTTCCGAGTTGAAGTGGTATAAACCAGACTGACCCAAAGGGACTCTTGATCCCTCTTGCTCGTCTCTGTGTGTGTGTGTGTGTGTGTGTGTGTGTGTCTGTGTGTGTGTGTGTGTGTGTGTGTGTGTGTGTGTGTGTGTGTGTGTGTGTGTGTGTGTGTGTGTGTGTGTGTGTGTGTGTGTGTGTGTGTGTGTGTGCGTAAGTGCTCCCAGTAATGTTGCCACATGTGCTTGCCATCCGATCTGCTGTCACCTTCCGTCATATTTGCTCGTGTCCTTTTCTCCTTTTGGTTTTTTGTTCTTTTTATTTTTTTATTTTTTTTTTCGTTTTTACATTTAAGTAGATAATTAGAAACCAGACGGTTATGTAATGTGGCGTGCTGTAGTCTATGTGTCCTGATGCCCGGTTTGTGCGTAGCTGCGTGGGCCTTATGACCGGTTGTTGCTAGAATCCCCGTTCAATGAGAACTCCCTTCTATCATTGCCTGTCTGTTTTGTTTTGTTTTTCTTTTTCTTTTTCGATCGGTCTTGATTTTTTTATGTGATTTCAATTATCAACAACCAATCAACCAAATAAATACACAAGAATTGTTGTTTCGAACCTCCGACGACAGAGAGACATCGGGATGGTAACAGCTATATGAGCCTTTCCCGGTACCTACCACCCCAGGTCTACAATGAATTTTGCTGAAACAAATGCAACAAATGCCTCACAACATCACAGCAAGGATTACAATAGTCAATTGAGAATAAAAAAATCAACTCCTAGGCCAATCTGGAAGCTTTTGGTGCGATCTCAGGGCAGCTCTCGTCTGGTGGAGGCACGTTAACGTACAGCTTATTCATCTTCGGTTAGGACATGAAGGTTAGGGGCTTCGCTCCAGCCTCGCTCCACCTGAAAGGGCGAAACGCTATACGGCGATTCGTTGCTGGATGGAGAGCCGGCAAGAGGGGGACTCGAATGATGTCCACTATGGCTCCCGTCCGAGCGGACTGCAGGGCTTGTGTCGCCAAAAACATCGAGACCAGACGAGATGGCCAACTGGGAAAGGAGGCTACGATTGGTTAGGGTGGCGCGTAGAGCATCCCGCTCCACGGGACTAGGGGTCGGTATGGGCAGCTTGGGAGCGGCGCTGCGGCTGACTTGGCGTGTCAGCGACAAGCGCGTCATTGTGAGTGATCGCATGTCCTGCGCCAAAGCCGCGTCGGGGCTAAACAGCCATGGATGTCGACTGGCTTGCCGGGCGCGAAGGCGCAATGTAGGGTTAGGATTTAGGAGCATGCGGATAAAGTCTTGCCCGGCAGTCGAAACGTTCCGCCAAACTTCGCTATCTGTAAATAGTTGCATGGTTTCGTAATACGACATGTCTACGCCTGTGGCGACCAATGGCAGCTCCAGTTAGCAGCCGACTAAAGACCAAGCGAAAAGTGCATGTTCAAAACAGAGCCAAAGCAATGGGACCACGTACAATCTAGGTTGGGAGCTGCGTACGGAGTGCAGCCTGCCAGGGCAACATGTGTAACTACACCGAGCGCCCACATGTCGATCGGCAGACTGTAACCTCTTGAGGACTGGATAGCAATTTCCGGGGCCATATAGGATGGGCTGCCGACCAAGGAGCGAAGAGGTAGGTCCACCGTACAGCTGAGGCCAAAGTCGGTGAGTTTGACGACCGGCTCGTGGCCAGGCACGGAAGCAAACATGATGTTTTCCGGTTTGATGTCTCTGTTGAGAAAGGAAGATTGTAAAAAAAAAAAAAAATACAACAAGACATGAGTGCCGACCAACAAGAACCGCCGGCCGAAGAAAAGACGGTGTTTGTCATTGTGTTTGTTAAAAGAAGCCAAAAACCAAAGAACGGCAGTGAAGCGGCACGGACCGGTGTACGATGCGCTTGTTATGCAAGTACTGCGCCATTCAAGCAAGTAGCGGCAAAAAAAAAAAGAGTGGTCGGAAGGGCACATGGCATGTCAAATGAGGTCGAAATGTGAGCTCGAGGAGAAAGAGACCTTGGTAGGAGGGGATAATGCAAGAATTTCGCTGGAAGCCGCGAGCGGAGAGCAGATGCGGATTTGTACCTCGACGGCAGCAAGGCATTGAGCAATAATGTCACGGGCGTGTGATTCGCCAAACGCCCCCGAATTTTCAATTCGATCAAACAGATCCCCACCTAAAGGAGCACGACGAGTCCACAGTAGCGGGTGAGTGGTACGGGTTGTTGGATGTTTTCGAAGCCAAGTCCAAGGCACAGATTGTAGTGGACGTTTTGGACAGGCCAGACCGTCCAGGAGCTCCATAAAAAGGAGGATCGCGTCGCTGACTTCCATGACATCAAAGAGCTTGACACAATGCGGGTGGTCCAGAGTGCGCAGAATGCGAATTTCTTGAAACATCAAGTCGCGCTCGGGTGGGAAGATGACCTGAGATCAATGAAGCAAGAGGTGAAGCCACGGTTAATGGCACACCGGGGTCAAAAGCTGGCGGGCTGACTGAGAACAACATGTTCAAGTAAAACCACGTACCTTGGCTTTGTCGACAACTTTGGCAGCAATTTGACAATTCCGATGGACATCATGACACGGGTAAACGGAAGCAAAGGCGCCGCTGCCAAGCTGGTGTCCCCAATTGACCTGGTAGAGGGCAAAGACTTCACTACTATCGGAGATACGGCCCTCGGCGAAGCGAGCATCGGGAAGTCGGTCGCGCCGCACAACAGATTTGCGGCGCATGCGGTAGCCATTGTTGGGAGCAACGTATGGGATGCACCCACCGTTACTGGTGAGGCGCGCACGGGTAGCATAGCCACGCCAGGTTTTTTGGATGATGATGGCAGACCACGTGCGAAGCGCTTGCATTTCAGCTTCGGAAACGGCGTAATCGATGTAAGAGTCAGCGGGGCTGTGCGCCGGGTGTCTGGGATAGCTGGCCATGCTGGTTGAGGATCGAGCTGGTGCGCGGCTCGGCGCGCGTGTTGTGGGTGTGGATGCGCCGGGGCTAGGGCTGGGATTGACCATGGGCGAGGAGGGTATCGGTAGGTCCGCAGCTTCTTCAGGAGCTCGCGTGGTCATAACAAGGATGCGCTCCCGGCTGTATCTGGAAGGTTGACGAGAGAGATTGGAGGCAGCTTTGTTTCGTCGTCGCTGCCAACGCTTTTGTCCACCACCGCATAGCCAACCGCCTGAGGGTTCAACTACCTCTGAGCCTGCCATGATTTGTGTCTGCCAAAGAGCGCTCCGAGGTGTTGCCTCACGAAAAATCGAGCATTCACTACGATATACGCCCCTTCATTACCACAAGAACTTGGTAAATAAAGAACAGCCACGCAAGGCACAGGACCCCCCCACTGCGCAAGACAATACGAGGGAGCGTGAAAGGTTGAGTCGAGGGAAAAGGTGCAGAAGAGGAAAACGAGGCGAGGGGGAAGGGGGGAGTCACAGCAGCGGCGACAGCGGCGGCAGCGGCTTCGGCGCCAAAAACTGTTGTTAGGGAGCTCATCAACGTTGACCCTCTAAAATTGAAAAAAAAGTCAAAACATACGGATGATTTATAATAAAGGGGTAAATTTATGTTCGATCACTCGTGGTTCCAGAGAGTAAAATTAAAGGGGTGTGTTCAGTTACGGTCGACACAAGAAACACGTGTGCGAGGACACACACGCGCGCACTCTCTCTCTCTCTCTCTCTCTCTTTTTTTATTTTATTTTTTCCAGTCGTGTGGGTGCGTGTGACGGCAGCCGCTCTCCCGCGCGACGTGCGCGCACAGAGTCATTGGAGACACACACAGATACACACACACACTCACACACACTCACTCACTCAATCACAGAGCGTGTGTGTAGAGGGTGGGCCGAGCTCAAGGCCGGTTTGAAGAGGGCGACGCCGTTGGGATACCACAGTGATGCCGCGCCGGGTCCGCGCACAGAAGCGAACGGCGGGTGTGGTCGAGGATGAAGAGGTCAAGGCAGAACAGGTGCGCCGAGAGCACAAAGCCAAGCAGAAGCAAGCAGTTGGCAGCGATGCCGAACAAGAGGAGGAGGAGCTCTTTCCCGACAGCTTGCACGGCCCAGATAGCGAGTCGGACGTGACTGATGATGAGCAAATTGACGAGGAGGCCCGCCAAGCGGACCGTGATCTTCTCAAGGAACTCGTCACTCTGCAGGGTTTGAACGGCGAGGACCCGAGCGATGCCGACAATGACGATGACGACGACGAGGAGGAGGCAGCATCGGATGATGATGATGAGGAGGAGGATGCAGAACCATCTTCCGACTCGTCCAACGAAGCCTCGGACGCTGGACAAGAAGAGGGCACGACAGACCCACACACAACGACAGACGATAAGGCTTCGGCCACAACGCAGATGGTTGTGTACAGCTCAGACGACGACACAAGCGACGAAGAGCACTCACTCAACCGCGTCGGACGCATTCCCATGGAGTGGTATGAAGATTACGAGCACATTGGCTACGACCTCAACGGCAAGCGCGTATGTGCTGGCTTTGTTTCTCCTCGTTGGCCCCTTCCCTCCCAATTTGCGCTCTTCTCCGCCGCATCATCCGATTGCGGAAGACACCTTATCATTTTGACTCTGGCTCATCTTTTCTCGGGTTTGCAACACAGATTCGCAAACCCAAGCAAAAGGACCGCCTTGAAAAGTTTCTGGACGCTTTCGAGGCTGGTAACAATGGCCGCACCAGTAAGTGTCTTCTTCCATGGCCGCATGTTGATTCTTGTTGTTGTTGTTGTTGTTGTTGTTTTTTGTTGTTGATGAGAAGTTTGTTAGTCTTGGTGAATTGGTGTTCTTGGTCGAGCTCGAGGCTCTTTGTCATGGTGAAGATACGTAGCATCCGAGGCTCGACATGCCGAAAGGTTGTGGGAGCTCAAAAATAGTTTCAGCCTTGTCTGAGTGATGCGAGCCTCGAGCAGACCATGGACACCATCCCATCCTTTGTGTTTTACGTTCATGGCCACAAACAAAACCACACTGCACCACTTGGCTTGTGTGACATGGTGATGATATCCTACCTTTTGAGGCTCGACATGCCGAAAGGTTGTGGGAGCTCAGAAATAGTTTCAGCCTTGTCAGAGTGACATGCAAGCCATACATACCAAATTACACCATGCCCGCCATTTGTTGTCTTGATGCTTTTGCAAGCCAATTTTCGCTTCGTTGTGTCCCAAGTTGTGAACACGCGTCATGGTGAAGATACGTAGCATCCGAGGCTCGACATGCCGAAAGGTTGTGGGAGCTCAAAAATAGTTTCAGCCTTGTCTGAGTGACGCGTGCTTCTTTCGCCTTCGATCTGACTTTTGATCCTGTTCTTAACTTGCTACAGTTCTTTGTCCACGTCCTCTTGTTTTTCACTCACATGTTTCCCCCGCGATCGTGCCACAGTCTACGATCCCGTGACCGGCAAGGAGATCGAGCTGACAGACGATGATATCAACATGATCAAAAGGATACAGAGCGGGCAACTCCCGGACACTGGCATCAATCCCTATGAGGACTATGTGGATTTTTTCACGCACGAGAAAATGCAAACGCCTGTCGTGGACAAGCCCGAGCCAAAACGCCGCTTTGTCCCCTCCAAATGGGAGCACAAGAAGATTATGAAGATTGTGCGCAGCATCCGCAAGGGCCTCATCAAGCTTCCCACCTCAGATGATGAAAAGGACAAATCCAGCGAAGAGGAGCAGTATTATGACGTGTGGGGCAACGAGGATGACCCCAACGATCCTCGCATCAAAGTGCGTCAAGCAAATCACATTGCTGCCCCCAAGGTCGCGTTGCCCCATCATGCCGAGTCCTACAACCCCCCCGAGGAGTACTTGCCCACCGACGCCGAGGCCGAAAAGTGGCGCAACGCGCACGAGGATGACCGTGAACGCAACTACTTGCCGCACAAGTATGGCAGCCTTCGCCTCGTACCAGCTTACGACCAGTACATTCAGGAGCGCTTCCATCGCTGTCTTGATCTCTACCTTTGCCCCCGCGCTCGACGCATTCGTGTACGTTCCTTGTGTGTGTGTGTGTGTGTGTGTGTGTGTGTGTGTGTGTGTGTGTGTGTGTGTGTGTGTGTGTGTGTGTGTGTGTGTGTGTGTGTGTGTGTGTGTGTGTGTGTGTGTGTGTGTGTGTGTGTGTGTGTGTGTGTGTGTGTGTGTGTGTGTGTGTGTGTGCATGCGTGCGTGCGTGCGTGCGTGCGTGCGTGAACAATGAGGCTTTGCGTGCAGTTCTCTTTTTCTTATTTGTCTGTATCTCTTTGGATAGATGAACGTTGATCCCGAGGATCTTCTTCCCAAGCTGCCCAAGCCTGAGGACCTGCAACCGTTCCCTTCTGCACCGTCTCTCGTACGTGGTTTCAAGGCCGTATGCATCCTCGGCGCCAGCAACTATCAAATGGATGCAGCTGATGATCTCCTGTCCTGTTTTTAGGTTTACCGTGGTCATAAGGCCCGTGTGACGTCCATCTCCTGTGACCCAACCGGCCAGTGGCTTGTGTCGGGCAGCGATGACAAGACAATTCGCGTCTGGGAAATCTCCACGGGTCGCTGCGTTCGTGTCGTCACGGTTGATGCCGAGGTCAACATGGTGGCCTGGTGCCCCAATGCCGGCGTGAGCATTGTAGCCGTTGCGCATGGTCACACGTAAGCCACATCGCCTTTTCTTGCTCTCCTCTCCTCTCCTCGCTCTCCTCTCCCCTCCCCCTCCCACCGCCCTGGTCTTGTTTCAAATGACATCTCACAAGGAATCCTGCTGTAGCGTATCACTGATTTGCCCCCGTGTGGCCACGGCTGCCATTGACAAGGCCACGGCAGTGCTTTGCAATCAGTCCATTGAGAAACCCTCTCAAGGTATGACGACTCGAGATCATCATTTTTCTTTTCGGGCAACAACTGATCCCGCTCGTTGTTGCGCAGGGGCTGAAGAAGGCATGCGCGCCACACCAACGTGGAACCGCATCCGTGGCGAGCGACAGGATCAAGACGGTATTTTCTTCGAGATTCCTCATCATGCAGAGGTTATGCAGGTTGGTTGTGCACACCTGTCGCAGGTTTGGGCTTGCTGGGATATTTTTGCTGCAGCTGATACCATTGATTCCGTCGATCGGGGTTCTGTGTGCCTAGGTCACTTGGCATCACAAGGGCAATTACTTTGCATCCGTCATGCCGCGCGCCGAGACGCAGTCTGTCTGCGTCCACTCTCTGAACCGCCAGTCTACGCAGGTGAATGGCTTGCCAAGAATAATACCATGTCTAGCTCATTCCCATGTCATGTTTGGTACAAAGCTGACCATTCCAAATTGCGTGCCCTCAGCACCCTTTTCAAAAGCGCAACCGCGATGTGCAACGCGTCCTCTTCCACCCTACCCAGCCGCTCTTCTTCGTGGCGGTTAGTTGTTTTTTTTTTTCTCCTCCTTCTGTCCCTTAATGCTTTGCTCTTAAGAGCATATCACTATTTCAATCCTCACATTCTCTCTCTCTTTCTTCGTTTTCTCCTTTGCTGTAGACGAAGACACACGTGCGTGTTTACAATCTGCAGGCTCAGGCATTGGTGAAAAAATTGCTCACCGGTGAGTCAGGTGCATGCAAAAAAAAAAAAAAAAAACGACGCCGTTGTATCAACCATTCTCACGACTCACCCTGATGTATTTGTCCGGATGATGGACAGGCGTGCGTTGGTTGAGCTCGCTGGCAATACACCCTGCGGGTGACAACCTTATCATTGGCTCGTACGACAAGCGCCTTTGTTGGTTTGACATGGATCTGTCCATCAAGCCGTACAAGATTCTTCGGTGCGTATCCCCATCTACCGCTTCACGGTATCTTGAAACTGCTGAGCATTCTCAAATTGTCTTCGCATGCTCCTTGTGCTGGATCACAATCCGTTAGGTACCACAAATATGCCTTGCGCCAGGTGTGCTTCCACAAAAAGTACCCCATTTTTGCATCATGTGGTGATGATGGCAACGTGCATGTTCTGCACGGCATGGTCTACAATGATCTGGGTCAAAACCCTTTGATTGTGCCCGTCAAGGTTGGTTGGCTGCTTTGCCGTGTGTAGCCCGACTTTGCTTGTACCGTGCCAGACTGTGGCATGCCCAATGCCAAGCATCTTAACGTGTTCTGATCTTTTTTTTTCCATCCCCAGATTATCAAAGCACACAACCAGACTTCGGATGGCATGGGCGTTATGGACTGCACCTTCCATCCATCGCAGCCCTGGCTATTCAGTGCAGGTAGCGATGGTAGCATCAAGCTGCATGTGTAACACAGCAGTCCTGTGCCATGTCTCGAGTCGGACCCTGTTGGTTGATTTGTTTGATGTGGGTATTTCGAGCCTCGCTGGTACCCTTTGTCTTTATAAGTGGTTTATTTTTCTGCGCAGATTGTCAATCGAACCAGAAGCGTTGCGCTGTGTGATTGTGTGTGTACATGTGGCGGAAGAAGAATTGCAGGCGGCCCAGAGCCAGCCATGGACGAACTGGTGTGTGAGTGGGTGGAGGGGGGGGCATGCTGGGGGGTGATCGGGAGAAGTCGATTAGAAGCAACTTGCTGTGATCCTGCACGGAACCAAGTTGATGCAAAAAGAGAAAACGGATCAAGGTTGCAGGGGATGGTCATGATATCCGAATTCTGAGAGCCAGGTGGCAAGTCTTATTTCTTTTTGTTAAGCTTAGGACTCTTCTTGGGCGTGGTTTTTGGCGTGGACTTGGGCGTGGTCTTTGGCGTGGTCTTTGGCGTGGACTTGGGGGTAGCCTTGGGCGTGGATTTGGGGGTAGCCTTGGGGGTAGCCTTGGGGGTAGCCTTGGGCGTGGACTTGGGCGTGGACTTGGGGGTAGCCTTGGGCGCAGATGGCGTGGTCTTGGGCGTAGCCTTGGGCGTGGTAGACTCAGAAGTGGTATCCCTGGTGGGCGCTTGTGCGCTGTTTGGCGACTTTTTCCGCTTCGGGGCAGCAGGGCGAGGCTCATCCGTCGTTTGGTCGTCAGCTGTCTCGTGCAAGGATGGCAGACCTTGGGTCATGGCGGCTGCCACGCGCTCGGTGCCAGTCTGTTCAGCAGCAGGGATGGCTTCGAATTCGGCTTCGGCGGCCTTGCGTTTGGCTTTACGGATGGCCTTTGTGTCAGCGAGGCCTTGGTGCTTGGCCATGGTCTCCTCGCCCTTTTCCAAGGTTTGCTCCAGGTCTTTCTCGGTGACCCAGGCAGAAGATTGGGCCAGGATTGAAGGCGCGTGCTGTTCGTGTTCGTCCAGGTCGGTCGCACAACAACATGTGATGCGGCAGCGAGTGTTGGCTTCGGCAAGCGGTTCCAGCTCCAGAACGGGTGCTTCATCCTCTTCCACGGGGCGCTCGTGCTCCTCGTTGCCCTCACTTTGACCCTCGGAGGTCGTGGCCGTGCTCGACGTGGCGGTTCCAGTGAGCATACCTGGGTCGAGGTACCAAACACGTACAAGGCCATCGGCATCGGCAGTCACCAGCAAGTTGTGGTTAGGCGCTGGTAGGGGACAACGACACATGCACTTGACTCTGCATAAGCAAATCAAATGTTTGAGGGATGGATACAGTGGGCGAATGAGGAAACAGGTTCGAGCCCACCAGCGCGTTACAATCAACCGCAGACATACCGCTTGTCGTGGGCCAAGAACGTGGCAACACACATGCGCTGGGGGACGTTCATGATGAAGACCTGAGCGCCATGGCCACAAACAGCCACATGTTCATTCTGCTCGCGCGCGCACGCACACGCCAGGCGGGGTGGGTAAGCTTTGAGGTGAGGGCAGAAATGGAGAAGCATGCCAAATTTGTCGTGGGGGTGGGGTGTCAGAAATTTGATCAAAGGGTTACACACCGAGAGCGCAACGAGATCCGTGATGCGGAACGGCATGCGAATGGTGAAGAGAAGCTCGTTGTTAGCAATGTTATAAGCCATCAGTTGAACGCCGGCGGCCACGACGTAGTGGTTGCCATCATCCAAAAAAATTACACGTTCCAACTCTGAGGGGGGTATCGGCGGTGAGGACACAGAGGCTGCACGAGTCCTGATAGAGTATGATTGGGTGTTCGAAACGGAAAACCCGGGGCTGGATCCGAGTGCGTCGGCGAAACATACCGCGAGGGCGAGTGGTGATGTAGGCACAGCGGCCGCGCATTGAATCCCACAGACGCAGCGAGCGGTCGCGGCCCACAGTGACGATGATCTTGCCCGACGGATGGATGGCGACATCATTGATGGGACCTCTGTCACGTGATAGCAAGCGGGCCGGATTGAGCCAGGTCGCAAGGCGGGCCTCGGCCGCGGGCAGTGCTGGCAGGGGCATCGACAAGCGTACTTGTGACCGTGAAGCAGTTTGAGGTGGTCCCACGTGCGTGCATCCCAAATGGCAAGTGTGCCATCATCGGCAGCTGACACCATGGTCACCTTTGACGTCGAGACACATTGGGGAGGTGCACACGCAACATAATAAAAAAAGTGAAGTGGTGCGGCAAAGTGTGGGATGGGGCGCGAGAGGCTGCGGCTAGGGACCGGGATGAACCGCTCGCTTACACATACCTTGTCATGGAAGCGCAGGCAGCGGATGGTAGCTTCGTGGAGGAGGAGTGTACCAACCTCCACGCGCTTCTTGAGGTCATACACCCTATCGTCAGAGCCGAGACCAGGATCAGAAGGCGGGTTTGCGGGTTTGCGGGCCAAAGGGGGAGCAGGAGCTGGCCAACGGATGGTCGACCACGTACTGCATGAGTTCATCGGCGCTGGCCGTGACGAGGATGTTGCCAAAGCCCTGCGTGGCAGTAATGACGGCGGCATGGGGCTCGCAGATGTACGTCTTCTCGAGCTTGGCAGCGAGCTCAACCACGACCTCGCCATCCTCGTCCGTCTCGCTATCGCGCGCGATAAACTGGAGCTCAAACCCCTGTAGAAGGTGCTCGTACGTTCCAAACGCCAGCGCAAACCGATGGACGTGTGCCTCTGCCATCGCCCCGGGTTCCTGGTTCTAGTTCTAGCGGTTGAGTTCGGGTTTTACTTTAGCAGCTCCAGA